TCTTGTTCAGTCTGAAATATATAAATTTGAAGCATGATTGACATGAAACATTTATCGCTGAAAGTAAACAGAACCGTAAATTTCTCTATGTTGAAATGCACACTTTGACTTTAGCCTGAAATTCTGGTATAAGATCCATGTGCCTCAATAACTGCCCCGCATACGTGTGATAGCTGTTGATGAAGACTGCCAAACGCCTTACGACACGACCATTGTACCCCGATAAAATTTTAGAAAGGCACTTCTATTTCAGTTGTGTAACCTTAAAAGTATCATTTTTATCAACAATTACTATTCCAAGTAGGAAAACTTAGGGTTTCTGATAAAAAACATACCTCAAATGCACAAACCATCATTTTTTGGGTAAAATTATACGCCAAATTAACAGGTTTTACCATATTGTTTTTTCTCTCGCCGGTCTTCGCCTATCTCTCAAAACCGGCTCAACTTCCCGCCGTCGGCTCTGCGCCAGTTGTACGTGCGCAGCACCGGCTGCAAAACAAACGACCTCGCCGGTCAGAAAACCGGCTACCGGCGAGCCGGTTGGAGCAAATCAAACTGGCCCAAAGAACGACTGGTTTTTCGTTTGATACGTCATTATTTCACTTGTTCCAGATTATATCGATATCTAATTGTTTCTTAAAGGAAAATTGGAAAACTATTCAAATTAAATAAAGATGCCGGCAAATTAGTGACGTATACGTCAGCGATCGGGACAAAAGTGACCATGTCATTTTCGTCTGACTATAATAAATAATGGTTTCTCCCTCTAAACTTTGCAGTCAATTTGGCAATCATGTACATGAAAGTTTTAATTCATAACTAAAGGAGTAGATGCATTAAGGGTCAATTTTGGCCCCAGCATATATTTTCTTAATTTTTATATCATGCAAACATGGACATAGGACATTGATAAAAAAACAAGTTTTCAATAATTCTGACAATACGTTGCCTAGCAACGGGCCTGGAAACCAACCTACTCTTTACCGTCTATTTGCACATTTTAGTGATATTGCACTGGGTTTTTTTATAAAGTTATTTGGTCAAAATATTTAATCATTTTTTACATATCAATGGTATGATTTAACAAGAGATCCCAGAGGGATCTTGGCGCCCACCATTTGAGGATCTATTTTCAGTTTTTGAAGATTTTTTTTTTCGTTACAGGTGTTGTAAATGTTCATGAACTGGACTTCACTGAATGTACACAATGTTGGCCCAAGATATTTTTATTAAGCACATATTAGCAAATATTGGAAAAAGAAACCAACGTATTATCAGATAGCAGTCAGTTACAGGCGGATAATGGACATGGTCTGGAATCAATATGATAGAATATCGAAGAAAATATGCTTGGGTGAAATAAGCGTTGCATGTAACAGGTATGCATGATATTCAAACTGAAGGTGGTTATTGACTCATAGCTGTAGGGTGATATGCACAGGCCAAACAGTTAGCATTGGGGTATTTGTATATATATTATGTATCAAGGACATGTAACGGGATGAGCATATTGTCCACTCTGATGACGGTAAAGCAACACAACACAGAGTATTTACATTACACTGTAAAATATTATCAGTGAGATTACACCAAAAAAGGTGGCAACCCAGTTGCCACCTCTAAAGGTTGAAGTTTACACCACGTCACGTAACACCAAAAATGGTGTTAACTGGTTATTGCAGCTGTACACTTAATTTAGATTTATGTAACACCATCTTCAGTGTTTACATACACCAGATATGGATTTATGTAACACCCTCTTTTGTGTAGATAAATATGTACACCAGACACTGATTTACAGAACTCCTCTTCAGTGTAGAAATACACCAGATAAAGGTTTATGTAACACCCCTTTTCTTGATTTGGTTCTAAATACACTCGATTACTTGTATTAGAACACTGCATTATGTATATTTATTTGTACACTCTATTTGAACCAATAAAAAAGTACACTAATGAGTTATCAAATTGCACTAGATAAAGATGTGCTGCCTGACAACAGAAAAAAACCAAATATGCTAATACAATGTTATTATCAAACAATATTCCAACTGTATATGTTCTGATAAGCAATGTTTGATGTTATATATAATTATTATGAATATTGCTGTATCATTATCCTAAAAGCTATTAGCATTGAGCAAGTAATAATGGTCATCTAGAGTCATTACATGATAACTACAGTGTACTGTATGTGTAAAGTTGGTTGTTTTGTTCCTGCCTTCCAATCCATAAACATCAATGACAAATACAGAATATAATTACACATATTTATTACAAATCAAAATTCAATTACTGAATCATAATTTCAAAAAATAAAACAGAAAATTGTACCTTTCATCTTCTCTTAAATTCGACTTTCAATTGTATTACAACACATTTGATTTCCAGTATCTTGGACATTTTCTCCAATTAAATCAAAATGATATTCAAAACTTTCAACAGAATGTAATTTCCTTGTATTTTATAGTTCATTATCCAAATCTTTTATAACAAGAGGCACAAAAGCCAATATGGTCACCCAAGTTCTACAAAATGAAATTTATCCTGGAGAATAATATCACAAAATTACTACAAACACAAAATTCAATTCTTGAATTATCATTGCAAAATAAAAATCACACATTAAATTGTATCTTAATTAATTTTTAACACATCTGATATTTGGTATCCACATTTCTATCAATATGACATTCATTTATCAACCTAGCATCTGCATGTAATCAGCTTGTATTATAACTATTTAGTCCATTATTCAAATATTTAACAACAAGAAGCACATTTCACTATTGGATAGAATTATGCAGCTAAACAGACCCAGTCTAATATTTTTGGAAACTAAAATCAGCACATTATATAAACAAGTGAAAAGTTTTCACTGGAATAAACTGCCATTATTATGTTAGCATCCTATAGTTTTTCAATGCAATCAGGCTAACGTTTTTACTTTTAAAGTCAAATAAAATGAAATATTAGATCTATGTCAAAAGACCTTTTCTTCTCATATCTGAAAACATCTATCGTTATTAAATATTCAGATTCTTTGTAGTATTTTGGTACCAAAATTAACTAAGATTACTTCATCAATTGTCCTATGGCCTATAATGCATACCCAAGCATGTTACTTTAGAAACTTAAAATTCTTCATGATGTAGAGCTTAAACAATAAAAAACAACAAACAGCCTGGTGTTGGCATATTTAAAGGAGTTAAGGAATTATACATGTATACACTGGTGAAAAGCATTGATCGGTGGAAGATATTTCACATCAGATCGTAATTTTGTTTCCAGAACAATTAAAAATGTCCACAAAACAAAATTCAATAAAATCAATTTATATCAGAAATCTCAAAATTGGGATAAATGAAACAATAAAGCAAGTACAAAGTTACCATTGTACATGTTAGTCAACATACAATACTGGTATACATCAACTGTATCCATTTAACATTTGTTGAGCCTTATATAAACTTTAATAAAAATGCACATTGTATCACAAAAATACATTCATAATAACTGCACCTGGCATGAATATCAACAGAAAATAAAAGGCAGATGGACAGAGAAGAAAACTTCAGTGCCTAAGTTGGGGATTAAAATATCACATGATACCAGATTATTGAACCACAAGGCTTATCCCAATTTTTAAAAGACAAACTGTTAAACTTGAATAAAATGCTTGAGGATATACTTAATCCATCTCACATATTTATAAAAAAAATATATTCAATACAATTATTACACTTTCCAAGTGCTAAATTTTGATCAATTTCAATTTGAATAGTCCTGTGTCATTTAACTTCCAATTTAACACCTTCTTTACGTTATCCAATAGCTAGGGTAAACAGAAATCATGGTCTCATTATACTCTTGGCGTAAAGACCTATATTCTGCCTCTAGAAAATCTTCTGTATAAACACTCAGGGAGATAGAGACAAGACTGTCAGACAATTTTTCTAGCAACATTCTCAATTCATCTGGCCAGAACTTTATTCCAGCACAGTCCAAGTGGCCAATACCTTGAGGCATAATGGCACATATGTATGTTGCAGTAAGCTGTGTATATGAAATATCAAGAATGAACAAGTTTCTCAATTTGCTCAATACAGTGAAATCTTCATTACATAAATTGGCACAGCTTGACAACATAAGGGTGTGAAGGTTTTCCATGTTCACAAGAAAGCTTAAGGTTGACAAGCACACACCATGTAAATCTAATCACACAATGTATTTTGCCTTTGAAAGACCAATGGTGAGATATAAGTCTAATTCAGGTACCGAATGGTTCCACACCAAAAAAGGCAATTCTACACAATGAAAAATGTGCGCATGTTTCATCACCATTTCTAATGTTTCTGGGGAAAATGTCAGAGGTTCCTCATCGTTAAGTAAGTCTTCTCCCGGAAAATGGCGCCATAATGTGGAGTTTTCATGGACAATTTTGTGGAATAAGGTGCATACTGGGGTGACATTTCTTATTAACTCTACAAGGCCAAGGTTGCGGAATATCAATACCAGGATTTCACTAGGTAGCTCACAGATGTTTCTTTGGGTTACCTGGAAGTGAAAGCAAATTTAATATTAAATACAATTTAAAATTTGGCATTTATTATCAAGTAACAAGAATTCCACGGAAGTGGATGTGTTGCCTACAGAGCAAGGTGAGAAAGCACCATGTGAAGTTTGAAGTTGATTGCCTAAAAGGAACTTAAGTTATCGCGAAAAACCTCCTTTTCTATTTATAGTAAAAGTCACCTTGACCTTTGACATTTGGACCTGAATAGCAAGCATGAACTTTTGGTGAGGAACCAGGTTATGAAGTTTTAAGCTGGTGAGCCACAGGGAACTTAAGTTATCATGAAAAAACTTATTTTCTATTCATAGTAACAGTGACCTTGACTTTTGACCCTTGGAGCTGAAAAACAATCCCAAGCAAACACTTTTGGTGAGGAAGCACCATGTGAAGTTTGAAGTTTATTCACTATCCTGAGATGATAATGAACTTAGGACCTGTAAGAACTTGCTGGTGCATGCGTTTTGAGGCTAAGCATAGCTATTTCAAACAGTTAGCTTTAAGAGTTGGAAATTTCAAAAACATTAATGCCACATTGGCACAAAGGCATCAAAACTTGCAGGCATACATCACATCGAGTGGTAATGATATTTTCAAAACCCATTCTGAGGTTCTAAAGAGCTCAAATGTAGCACTTGCATCACTTGATCCTAATGTAGGTCAAGCTTTGATGAACAAAGGTGTGTCAAAGAATGAGCAATATCTTTCAAAACTTGACAGAGTGAATTACAAAGGTCATGCATACAAACCAGGATGTTTTGTTGTCCATCATTATGAGAGTGATGACATTGTTTTGTCAAAGATTATTGCTATGTTTTCGCACAATTATCAGACATTACTGGTTGTGCAAATTTGTGACTCTGTTTATGAACCTCACTTCCCTGCATACAAAATCCTGAAAGTGGTTAAAGTTGAAGCTGTAAGATTTGATGAGATTTTAGATGTCTGTCCACTTGATCCATACAGACTAAACCAATTTGTGTATGTTGTACTAAAGCATTCAGTGCTTTTCAGATAGGCTGTAGTCTTTGTCATTTATCTGAAGATTACTCAAAATCAGGTTCAGTTACTAACATACAATGTCAAATATACACCAGTACAGTGTTATTTTTGGTGATCAAATTCAAAGCCGTCATTCAAAATCTGAAGCTTGTAAGTGTTTGAAATGGTATTGAAGGATTGAATCTTTTCACACACTGTAATGTTGGCAACCTGATAATGCCCATTCTCTGAAAGCCATTTGAAAATTATGCATATATATCTTTGCTGCTTGAATCACCAGATGTAGATGAACAGTCATATCAGGAGAAACATCATTACTGGTCCAAAATTACCAGTCAAAAATTCAAGTTCATACAAACTGTATACCACAGATGTTCAAGGTAGAGAGTCAGGAGTGTAGATAGACAGTCAGGAGTGTAGGGTAGACAGTCAGGAGTGTAGGGTAAGTCAGGAGTGTAGGGTAGACAGTCAGGAGTGTAGGGTAGATAGTCAGGAGTGTAGGGTAGATATTCAGGGGTGTAGGGTAGACAGTCAGGAGTGTAGGGTAGATAGTCAGCAGTGTAGGGTAGGCAGTCAGGAGTGTAGAGTAGATAGTCAGTAGTGTAGGGTAGATAGTCAGGAGTGTAGGGTAGACTGTCAGGAGTGTAGGGTAGACAGTCAGGAGTGTAGGGTAGATAGTTAGGAGTGTAGCTTAGATAGTCAGGGGTGTAGGGTAGACAGTCAGAAGTGTAGGGTAGATAGTCAGCAGTGTAAGATAGATAGTCAGGAGTGTAGGGTAGATAGTCAGGAGTGTAGCACAGTCAGGAGATTCAGGTTAGAATATATAAGAATAAATAAGAAAAACTAATTGAATTCGTTAGCTGATTTTAATCATTTCTTTTACCAAAAGAAACAGGGAAAAAACATCAATTTAGACAGAATTACATTTAAAGTTCAATTTCACCTTCATGGCGTTGTTCCTCTGACCCTTTTTTGTCCTATTTGGACTTTGTTTTCGAACTGAAATGTAGAAATGTTCATAGACAGTTCAGTTTCACCTTCATGGCGTTGTTTCTCTAACCCTTTAGCTTTATTGTCTACCTTTTATTTTATTCCTGATTTGGCTTATCGTCGTCTTTGTCTTTGTCCTTGTCTTGTTTTGGCTTACTGTAAACTTTGGTGTACTTGTTTGAGTGCCAGGCAAGGATGTGTCTTTTCATGTCGGTTACTTCCTCCGAACACAACGGACAAATCATTGTGGAGCTATAAAGAAGATATATTCTAACTTCATTTGACTCTCATACCTTAATGGATATGAAATACATGGAAGCAATCTTCTATGCATTTATCAACATTTATTATAAATGTTTTTGTAACAAACATATGAAATAGTATTATTTATCAGTTATAACTTATTAGATATTGAAAATATTGTAGTTAATACCTCATATTTCCGGGGATTACCACTGATGTACTCTCTCGCACTGTTGACACCTCCAGCAACTATGGCAGAATGACAGTTTATGTCGGATACCACCAACCACATGAAACTTCTCATAAAACTCTTTCGTTTCACTTTGCTTTTTCATCCGTCGCGAGCCCCTCTTATAATTCGTTACCTAATTTCATCTGTCGTCACTCAAAATGCTATAACGAAATTGAATTCGTTACGTTATTTTGTGATGGTATTGATACATGCTATGCTTTATAATGACTAATATCGAACTTAACTACAAAAGGCCTACAAAACAAGTAACCACAAAAAATAAATAAATAAATAAATCATAAGGGCTGGGAAAGACATGCAAATTAATGAAAACCGCCCTTAATGATAACAGATTTCTTCGGTGCAATAAAGCACTTCGAAACTATATAACTAATAGATGTGGCGCAGAATGGATGATCAGCTATTATTGAGGAGTCTGGGGTAGATAGTCAGGAGTGTTGGGTAGATAGTCAGGAGTGTAGGGTAGAAAGTCAGGAGTGTAGCATATAAAGTTAGTAGTGTAGGGTAGATATTCAGGAATACAGGGTAGATAGTCAGGAGTCTGGTGTAGATAGTCAGGAGTGCAGGGTAGAAAGTGAGGAGTGTAGGGTAGATAGTCAGGAGTGTAGGGTAGATAGTCAGGAGTGTAGGGTAGATATTCAGGAATGTAGGGTAGAAAGTGAGGATTGGAGGGTAGACAGTCAGGAGTGTGGGGTAGATAGTAAGGAGTGTAGTGTAGACAGTCAGGAGTGTAGTTAAGATAGTCAGGGTGTCCTTTGTTAATCAAACATTTTACCTCTGCCTCCAAAATCTATTGATAATATTATACAGGTCAAGCTGTAGCTGTGTGAATCTGTTATCAAAATGAGTTGAAAAGAGGTTATGAATTTGTTGTAAATCAGTACTTTCTCTTTACAGGGAATTCCTGCTGCTATGTTCTGCTTGAGAAATTGACATTGGTAAGTGAAAAAAATTGCTTATGGTGGGGTATTGAGAAAACATGTTGTGTTTGGTCTATAAATGTAACTTTAGAAATGTTTGCAGCATTCTTTGGTGAAGGTGACTCAATTTTGTATAAACGGTGGATCTACTCTTACTTCCTTAGTGGTAGTGTATGATAATACTAACAGAGGTAAACTTTGAAAATAATTTGTCATAAGTGCTGAAATATCTAGGTCAGCAATACAATCCTAGGCTTCAGGTTAGGTCGAATGAGGTGAAGTCTTTGATGGAAGTAAATGGAGTACATTTTAAAAATTCATGTGATTTTCCCAGCATTCTAGTTCTGCGAGGTAATTATTCATGCCAGTCAGATTAAAAAATGACTGCATTTCAGCTGTCTTGGATTTTAACATTAAAGACTTAAGTATTAATTCTCGAAAGTGGTAAACATTGTTATTTTATTATGAAGCAACATTTGCCACAACAAAAAGTCAGTGGATCTAAGTATAAGTTTATGGAGTCAAATTTTACATTTTTTAACTGTTAAACATTTCAAAACATTATAAAGTGAAATTAGTCAGAATCAAATAAGGTTTCAGCTGACCAACGATTAATTTTATTGGTCTAAGTCAAACTTTACAGATACATTGTGAAGTCAAGTTTGTCACAATTAAACATGGTACATATATGAACGAACCAAAGCTCAATGTCATCTGGTCAAAGTTTAAGGTAATATTTTACATTGGTGGTTACAAGTTGTTTATATTTTGTTTTGATTTCATGAAGCAAAGTTGGTCAGAATCAAACTTTGGTGTATAATGATATTACAAACACTAGGGTGATGTCTGTTTCCTAATTGGATAAGATAGTGTCATTTCCTCATTTAGTGATTTGATCAAACTTGGTATGCAGGTGTATTATGACACTACAAATTCAATATGGAAACATGATACTACAAATTCAATATGGAAACAACTGTTTCCTACCTGATTGTAAAAAAATGAGTACTTTTTACTGCTTTCAAATTGGTTGAATTTAAATGTTGTCAGATTTGGTTCATTCTGGATATTTAAATGAATTTTTGCATTGTGAACTTTTGAGAGTTTCTGTTATGAGGTTACATAACATTACATTTTGATAAGAACTTGTTATTTATCAATTTCTCGCAAAATGTTGACACATTGCACAGACCTTTCAAGCATGAACATAAAGTTCATGCACAGATCTGCACAGATGGCCATGGACTTCAATTTGCTATCAGCCTGTGATCTGTGATCAATCTTAAGGCCTTAAATGACTTCAGTCTCCAAACTCTTGATTTCATCTGTCTGTACTTTTGACAATATTAGTGCAGTCATCTATTTTCTATATTGGCCGAGGGTTATCAATTCTTGTATTCAGAATTTTGATTTGAACCCTAGGAGCCGAGGGGCGGGGCCCCAAAGGGCGAAATAATCAAATAAGCTTTAAAATGCTACTTCTCCTTCATTCCTTGTGGGATTTCAACAAGATTTAGTGAGATGCATTATTGGCCAGGGGTTATCGATTCTTGTATTCAGAATTTTGATTTGAACCCTAGGGGTTGAGTGGCAGAGCCTCAAAGAGAGAAATAATCAAATAAGCTTTGAAATGCTACTTCTCCTTCATTTATTCATGAATTTTATTGGTGTGCTGCATCATTGGTTGGTTCCATTCAATTCTTGAATTCAAAATTTTGATTCGACCCCTAGGAGCAAAGGGTGGGACCTGAAATTAAGTTTTAAAATACTACTCCTTTTTTTATTCTTCTGTGGATTTCTTCCAGACTTTGATGGATGCATCATTGGGTGAAGACATATAATTCTTATATTTAGAATTTTGATTCAAGCCCGAGGGACCAAGGGGCAGGGCCAAAATGGGGAATTTAGCTAAAATTTGAACTTAAAATGCTACTTCTCCTTCATTTCTCCATGGATTTCAACCAAAATTGGTATGATGCATCATTTGGGGGTACCATTTACTTCTTAAATTGAAAATTTTGATTCGACCCCTGGGGCTGAGGGATGGGGCCCCCAAAAGAGGAATTGACAGGAATAAAGCTTTTAAATGCTACTCTATCTTTATTCTTCTGCAGATTTTATCCAAACGTTGTTGGATGCATCATTTGGTGAAGACTTATAGTTCTTAAATTTTGAATTTCAATTCCAATCCTGGGGGCCGAGGGTTGGAAACCCAAATGGAGCAATTAGCTGAAATTAAGCTTTAAAATGCTACTCCTTCTTCATTCTTTTGTGAATTTCTTCCAAACGTTTTTGGTCATTTGACCCAAAGGGTCAACATGACTTTCTAGTCATTGTTGGGCATGTGTAAACTTTTATTTAAAAATGCTGTTCCACCTTCGAAAAAGGGGAAATTAGTTGAAATATCTTTAAAATGCTACTCCTCCTTCAGGCATTGATGGATTTCTTCCAGATTTTGTCTGATACATCCTTACAAGGTGCTCTACAATTCTTTAATTCAGAATCACAGTGTTGTCTCCATAGGTGTTTAACTCTTATTCATGGATATTGTACTGTAATTGACTCATTTAGATGATAAATTTCAAAATTTATCATGGGCTGTTTTTCACTCTCTTAGATGCAACGTGTACACTGTCTTTGTTAAAGAATTATTCTAGGTATTACTCTACTATGCTTCAGCATACTCATTTAGAGATTCCTTATAGGCTAGAAATAATAAATGTTTGTATGACAGAAATCATAAGTCTCATTTGAAGTTATACTACTGTCACTTGTTGTCGGTCTGTCATGATCACTTTCTGTTGGGGGCGGCACAAATTACCAAAGAAAACCCCAAAAACTCAAAAAGACAAAAAAAAAAAAAAAAACCAACCCAGAAGACTCCTAACCCACCAAAATACTGTGAAGCATTTTATTCTCAATAACCAAAAGATATTATCCAGGTCTTTGTAGTCAGATGACCATTAAGGCCCATGGGCCTCTTGTTTCAATTTTTTTATTCTGATATTAAGCAAAATAGTGATGGATAACTAGATACCAAAATTATATTCTGATTTTTGTAAAAATACATCAACAGACATTTAAATGTTTGCTTAAGCACTACCTCTAAATACATAATAATTATGACATGCCCTGCAGCATAATTAGGGAATATATTTCTTAGTTGGTCCTGAAAGAAATGTGAACCCTGGTGACATTTAAGTTGACCTTTAAAACATTACTTTTATCTTGAAAAATATCTTCAACTACAAGTTCTGCATTGAGACAGGACTTCCACCTGACAGAAATTTTGATTCCTAGACAAAATTTAACATGTTTATAGTATATACATATTTATTACATCAATGCCAGAAATTTAAGTGTATGGTTATAATGTTTTTTTAAAGCTAATGTTATGCACTGAAATCTTATATCTGTGTAAACAATATTTGCAGGATCATCAAAGAAGATCTGATCATGCAGATCCTCCAGAAACAAAAAACACGCTGGAGAAAAGGGTTCCAGAACCAAAAGTTGACAAAAAATGTGGCAGCAGGTGTAATTTACTACAAGATGAAACACACCAAGACAATCAACTTGTTCAGAATATCAACAAAAAGCAAGACAGTGGAACTAAAACATCATGCAGTTTGACTTCCTGTAGAAAAGCAGAAAGTCAATCAGGTGGGATGCGATGAAATTAAGATGCACAGATTCAGTTATTATTCTTGTTTGGGGATTGTAAAATCAGTTCCATGTTATTGCTACTTCTCAGAGGAATATTCATAATTAATTGTATGTGTGCATGACAAGTAATTGAATTGAAATTTACCAACCCATTAAATATGAAAAAACCCAGTAAAGATAAACACAAAGGCAAACAGGTGGTTATTTTAACATGTTTTTTTAATTGAGTAGGTAGGTTACTTGTTGTTTTAAGTAATATTGGACAAGTTTTGAGACTGATTCAAAAGAGTAAGTATCCAACATAAATAGATCTTCACATATTCAGTTGAACTTAATTTTTGAATTAAAGAATTAGCCGAATGTTTGATGCAAGCCCCTTGTACTTTAAGTTCAAAAGAATGTAATATCTTATGTTTTTCAGATGTGGACACATGGGTAACTCATGGTAAAGGAAAACCTTTTAGGCCCTGTCTTTTTTGTGGTGTGATGCAATCAAAACTTGTAAGGCACATCAAGAAAAAGCATTCCACAGAAGAACGTGTTAAATTGGCCATGCAACTGCCAAAAGAATTACAAAATCAAGCATTTGACCAAATTCGCAAAGATGGCGTAATGCTAGCCAATAAAAAAACGTTGCAATCATTAGGAGGCAATCCATCACAAAGTAAAATAGAAAATCATATGATCAGAGAAAGACGACAAGGAAAAGTTCCATTGTCTGTGTGCTCAATATGTAATGGCTTCTATTCTGCAAAGACAATGTACAGACACAAGCGTCAATGCATTGCTGCTGAATCTACAACTACACAACCAGAAGCAGTCCCAGTATCTCTTTTAGTAATCAATGACTCGGATCAATTTCGAGATCAAGTGCTCTCTAAATTTAGGAGAGATGAAGTAGGAGAATTATGTCGTTCTGATGATTTTATTAAACTTTTAGGAATGCAAAATTTTGTGAAAATTCAGTCAAGGAAAGAGAAGAAAGGAGAACTAAGAGATGCAATAATGGCTGACATGAGAAAGTTTGCGAACTTGTTCCTAAATTTTAAATTCTTAGCACAACAGAAGAAATGTAAAATTACATCTACAGTTGAAATGTTAAACCGAAATCATTTCATGTTTCTTCGAGATGCCCTTGACAACATAACTACAAAGGAGGATGGGTCTATAAAGAGTGGCCTGAAAGTTTCCTTAGGATTTCTTTTAAAGAGATCAGCGAATGTTTTGAAAGGCCATTACCTGGTGCAGAAAGCTGATGACAAAGCAAAGGAGGTGGAAAATTTTCTCACAGTGCTATCATACTTTTGGAATTCAATATTCAGTGACGCACAGTATGCAAATGTGAAAGCCAGACAAACAGATTTGAGGAAGCCTAAACATTTACCCATTGAAGAAGACATTCAGAAACTAAGGAGTTTTATGATTGAAGAACAGAATAGAATACTAGATCCATATGTACTGATAAGTAATCAGGAGTACATAATTTTGAGAGATATTCTTGTTTCACGCCTTACACTATTTAATGCCCGCAGAGGGGGAGAACCAAGTCGTTTACTGCTTAAGGAATGGAAAGATGCAGAAAATGGTGTCTGGATAGGAGATTCAGCTGTTCAAGCCATAGATGACCCGATTGAGAAGCGAATGTTAGGGAACTTCAGAATAGCCTACCAGTCTGGTAAAAACATCAATCAAATGGTACCAATTTTAATTCCAAATGACTGCCTTGAGGGACTTAGAAAACTGGCATGCAGTGAAATAAGAAAAGCTGCTGGAGTAAGAGCAGACAACATATTTCTTTTCCCTCTAACACAGAATTCTGCACATCATGTGAAAGGATGGCATGCTGTTGAATCTGTGTGTAAAAAAGCTGATATTTTGTCTCATATTAATGCAACATCAATGAGACACAGAGCCTCAACAATATATGCTGCACTGGATATCCCAGAAAATGAACGAAGGTTGTTTTATCAGCATATGGGTCACTCTGAAGACATAAATAAGAATGTATACCAGTGCCCACTGGCAATTCAGGAAGTGACAAAAGTTGGCAAGTTCTTTGAAAACCTTGATAAACGTCTTTGTAAGTATGTTTTGATTTAGAAATTAGTTTTATTTTTGTGATGTTAAGTCTTGACATTTGTTCTTTATGTATTCATAAAGTTTGAGTCATCTGACCTGACCTGTCTAATTACACGTACATTTTTTTGTGATAGTTATTTCTCAAGAGCTACTGAGAAGATCTTCATCAAAATTTAGGAACAAAGAATTGGTCCTAGTTCTGCAAATCAGATGTTGAGTTTGATGGAGTTTGTGATTTTTTTTAACTGTTTGAGATATCATTTTGAAACTTCAAGAAAATATTATGGATCTTTTTTGAGGATGATCAAGTGTTCAAGATGAAGATTTGACCGCTCTTTCTTAAAAACTACAAAACTCAAATGACTGACATGGCTAAAATTAGAAAAAAAAATCTTTGATTTTTAATCAAATTTACAGACCTAATGACATTGGATAACATAAAGGAAGTCATAAGTATATTCATATAAATGATACACTTTAAGTTGACTTTGTATTAGTGCATTGACTGCAAGGTAATGACATTTTGATGTTTTCAATGAATATGTATTTTTTATTCCAAAAGTAAAACCTTTTCCATATTTTATATAGATCATACTTTTGATGTTAGCAAGTGCAGTTTAACTGAGATGGAATCTGCCAATGAAATGACAACAGTTCAGCCAACGGAAACACAAGGGCCACTTGATGTAAAGTGTTGTTTAATTTATTGCACTTATTTTAATGCAATAGCTTGCAGATGTGAGCTTTAAAAGATTGACAAACAAATTTTGAAAAAAAAAGAAAAAATTCATACATTATAATATTTTTAAAAAATTATATTACATATTTAATCATGTATTGTTATATCGTACAATCAGTCTACTGTGAGCGTAGATATATATCAAACATGCTTTCTGGTGCATTTTACTTTCAGGATTCGTGTGTGCCAGGACCTAGCACTGTTACTTCTGATCCACTTAGAAAACGGAAAGCTGCAAACAAAGTGACAGTATGTATAATTTTCAGTCATAAAAATTACACTATTACATTTGCATAAACTAAGAAGTGAATAGTAATAGCTGCCATAGCTGATGTGAAAATCAAAGGGATATATAATATTCTGGCCATCTCTGACACATTCTCTCCCTCATGTAAATTTACCGGAAGATCATGGCAAATGATATGGAAGAGATTTTGATTAAATTTTGTAATTAGTTGTTAAAGCGGAAAACACCAGCAACTTGGAGATGACTCAATATTTAAGATACATTTCTCCAGCTATTATTGATTCTTGCATATTTAAGGTGATTGCCAGTCCAAAGAAACAGAAAACTAATGGAAGAAGGACATTAAACTTAGCAAAACATCAGGAATGCTTAGAAATGGTAAGGCTAAGTTAATGTTGTGTACTGCTGTCATTAAAAATAATTTTTTACAAAATGACTTTCGTAAGTACCAGGCATCTTGAAATTTGTAGTTGTGCAATGGGCTTTGTCAGCAGCTAGTACATAAACAATGGACATTTTTCAAAATTCTTGCAACCAACTTGAAATGAAATTTTACAGAAATCTACCATTTTTGCTAAAAGTGAACTTGAATTTGGAAGTAGATTGTACAGGCTCCAGCCATTTAGATCATCCATGGCTAAACCAAAATGTGCAAAATTTGATGAAATTTTGAAAATGTTTTTGTAAGACCCAGATACGAGTATAGCAGGATCATATAGTCTTGATGGATAGAGGGTTCATTCGCTGCTCTATCTCAGGGCAGAGGAATTCAGTTTTGGCCAGATTGCAAAGCAATATAGATTGGCAAATGCTATCTATCAAAAATTTTGGTTGATACTTTTGCTTTTTTGTTATAGTCAAAGTAGAAGACTAAAAGCTATAAAGTTTTGAATGTGTAGTTGTAAAGAGGTCATCATATGGCATGGGTAAAAAGGTCAACCGAACTTTGTTTTCAATTTACAATAAATTTGAGAATTCTGTAGTTGACCTATTTAGCCTACTATCCTCAAATCATGGGGCGTTCAGATTGCCAAACGTCCATCCATCTGTCCTCAAAAAATCCTTGTTATTGCTATTTCTTCCAAAGTACTGATTAGATCATCCTCAAACTTCACATGTAGTCTATCATAGGACTGATTGAAAAACCAAAAAAGGCAACAGACACCCTTCTTAGATTTAAACTTTTCAAGTTATTGTTATTTATCAGAAAGTACTACAAATTACATATGTAGGGTTGTCGTCCTTGAACAAGCGTCATCTATGAAGGAGGCTATGACTGTCTTTATCCAATAGGAGATGCGATTCATATTGTGTTTGTTATAGCCACAGTCATACAAAAAATAACAAACCTTAATTTGCTTATTTATTTTTGGTAGGGGGGTGGGGAGGCAATGAAATCAACTTTAGTTATAAAAAGTGAATGATGCCCCTTTCAGAATGTAGGTAGTGACTGGACAGCCAGTTTAAAAAATGCTTACACAATTGTGGTTTATCCTGAACGTCATTTAAAAAAAATCTAAAAGGTTCACTGGAAGGAATGATCAGAAACTTGATATTCAATTTTTGAAAATTTTTGAAAAGTTAGATATAATGCCTTTGGGAACCAATTTGATAAATGATGAAGCCAAAATCTGATTTGGTAAAACATTTAAGTGAGATGAAGGTAAAGACCTGTTGTATACTTCAAGGACTATTCTGCAGATTTACACTCTGATAAGTAACGCAAAAATATTTTCTTTTAGTATAAATTGTCTCCTTTTTAGGATCAAAGTAGGAGCTGTAGCAATGACCTGGATTGGGAGATGAGTGACTATGATAGTGCAGCTGATAAGGACTACACACCAAGTAACAGTGATATCACCACTGATGATGAAGGTGATAGTGACAATATTAGTGATACTGAAGATAACTGCACATATGACACTGCCAGAAAAGACAGACAGAAGAGTATGTATAAATAAGATGCTATTACTAATTGGTACAAGTTATCAGATTTACATTTTGATATTTGTGACATTTGAAGTCAAATGTCATAGATGGATTTTTCAAGAACTATTTGCGGTGTCATAATCAGTATGACACTTAGTTGTTCATATGTGTATGTCAAGGGCACTATTACTATTTTCAAATTCTTTTCAATTTGTGTATGTAGCTGTTCAGTGAAATTGTCTACAAGGTTAAACAGACCACAAAGAAACACTTGGTTTATATAGGCTACCTATGAACTCAATAGGGGTAATATTATAAGTATGTTTTAAACATTTTCTGAACAAATTTTCAGATTCCTCTTTGATTTTATGTATATGATTGTTCAGACATCACAGTTTGAAATTAAGGAAAGTAAAATCTGTCCATAAACAGATCACAAGGTAGTGCTCAAGTTGATATAGGCTAATATTTCTATGGATTAATTGCAAACTGGTTAACATTTTGTGTACCCATATCAGAATTGTTTTTGGCAATTTTACAATGATTTGTTTAATGAAATGTTCAAGGCATTGGGGACAGAAATTAAGGCCACACAAACAATTTCAAAACTGATTGGAAAGTTTGAAACAACGAAATATGTATATTTATACATATTAACAAAAAATATAAGAAGATGATCATGGTAAAGTTTCAAGGTACCAAGTCAAGGTCACAGTCACAATAGAAGATGTAAAAAATGTTTTGCTACTGAGTAGTTGATAAATCCACATGTTTTAAGCACACAAACAGTTCTAATCAGAGCAGAAATTGAACATTCTCCTTTCTTTAAGTATCTTGAATAGATTAGAAACATTATTACTTTGCATTTCTTTAAAAAGAACATACAGTTTTGCTAATAGATAAAAGTAGATTATATTCTTTCTTGGTCCTTTGGTGACACAATATGGACAAATTAAAGATCCTCACTCAGTGCTCACAGTAGTATATTTCCAACACAATTCCAACAATACAGCCAAATTTCTTTTTAGACTGGAAAGTTTTAGAAACTGAATCCAGTCATTATTTTACTTAATGATATTGACAGATAATTTAAATTTCAGATCAAAGAATAAGATGGCCAGATACCCACACAGAAATTATCAAAGAGCATTTTAAATCATACGTATTTGACACATCAACAACAGATAGAAAAGGGAGTTTACCAGGCAATTTTTTTTTCACATTGAAAACACGGTATTTATAAATAATAAGAATAGAAGATTAGTAAAACTAGTAAATTACATTGTCCAAAAAATATTTGAGAAGCATGACTCAATCTGAATATTTTTACATTGGGTATTATGCTTAGGTCACCCGAGACAAAAATTTCAATTCCTTTTGTCCATCATATTCCATTGTGTGTCAATTAACCATTGACATTTTCTTCTCAAAAAACCCTTAACTTATTTTAATGAAATTTTGCAGAAATCTTCCAGGGTTAATGGTGAACTAGAATTTTGAATATATATCCTCAGCAAAAGGAGGGGGTAGTAAACTTAGTTATTAAATCAAATTTTCTAAGCAATTGGATACCAACAATATAATTTTTTTTTCAGGAAAAGTCAAAGTATATTCCTTCATCAAAGAACATCCCAATGTTCTTGCAGACATCAATCCAGAGCGTAAAGTCTTGTGAAGTTTGAAGTTTAGGGAGAATAAACTAAAGGCTGCTTTCCCCAGAGGAATTTTTATGTATTTTCCTAATTTCATGTTCATATTTTCCCAATCAGAAATTAAAATGTCCCTTTACATCAGTTGATATGAAGAACTATGTCCTATGTTCAACAACTTGCAGCAATACCGTAACCCATGGTGATGCCAGGGTAACAACATAGCTCCCTCTCTCTACCGGAGGTGAACTAAAATTTATACCATTCTGGCCCTGCCACCTGGACTATCAAAACCCTATTATTTTCTTGCATGAGTTATATATTTTTTGTTTGTGTGTGCTCAACCTTGGAGTTTGCTGATTACTTTCAACAAATACTTATACATTTGAGTAAATCTTTATTTATACACTTGTATATATTATATACTTACATCTTTGTGGTTTTCTTTAGTTTCTCCATGAGAGAGATGGTTTTCCTTGTTGGCTTGGTGCATTTTAAATGGAAGAAGTTTTCAATCAGGCAGAATGTATTTTGAACTTCCTTTTTGTATTTGATGTTTAAAATGAAAAAAAATGACATCAGAAGGTAAATGATAATGTCGGAAAGTGATAACAGCGAGTGTGAGTGGTTCGAAGACTCAAACAATTCGGAAGAATGCAGCCTGAATTTAAGCTTTGAATCTTCTGATTACGACACGGAGGTTTTATAGAGACAAGCTGGTATTCAACCATACCAATTTGAACCCGAGGTAGATGGTGAAAGCAGTCCATCTTCACCTGCGTCGTCTACACGTAGCGATGATAATGCTGATCGCCTGGGATCCTTAAGACTGGTATGTTCAGAGATGTTAGCTATCGAATAATTATTTTTTCCCTTTTCAAAATGCATCGTGCATGTTAACAAATGCGGATTTTCATGAAATTTTTCTCCACCTGCTCAACTTCACAAGTCCGACTTTGTCGAGATAACAACAGCCAATGCCTTTTTTTGCATTTACAAATATTTGACTTTTACATATATTTGACTTTTACATAATACCCACCCCTAAATATTTTGTGTTACATAAATTAATGTGCATGTCTAAAATACTGCAAAAGAACCAATAACCAGAAAAGATAAAATAGATTTTCAATACGAAGTCAACATTTCTGAAAATCTGGTTTGGAATTGTTAAACATATGTATTGTAGAGTAACTGGTGTTTACCAGAATTCACTATTGCTTGCATCCTCCACAGATTAATGGCAAACTTGGCATTAACAAGGATTACAGAATATATCATTCTTGTTTTATCAGGAGATACCGCTATACAGACAATTTGTGAGATGGTGTTGGGGGTACTTGGGGGGAAAAAGCATAAGAGTGCCATTACCTGCGTGTGCTGTGAAGATTACTAGAGACATTTCCTGCACCAAATGGAAATTTTATAGGTTTTAATTTTGTGCATTAAAAATACGTGTCGAAAACATTGAAAGAACGACATGAAACAATAAAATTATAATTAATATCTGATTGTTGTTTTTTATTCATATATACACTTGAAACTGTAATAGGATCTGTAAGTCTCGTCATGTGACCTACTAGAAAATACCACTTAACTTGAACAATCATAACTATGAAAACGGAGGATTACCAGTAGGTACGTTTTTAAAAACTCCTTGGGAAATGTGCATTTTGTCGAAATTGAAAATACTTTTCTTCTAGAAGACTACTATCTAAAACGTCAGTTGGTACACAGAAGTAAAGTAAAACAGACTTGCAGACCATGTTAAAAACAGATGAAAATTCATGTACATGTATGGTATTTTAAATGTTCACGTTAAATCTTGATTCCATCAATGCAACAGCTTCCATTTTTACAGGTCTGACAAAAGCACTACAGAGTGGTGGGGGTTGGTCTTTAAGTAGCATATCCTCCACTTGCATCGTACTTTTTTTCTGCCACTTGTAGCACTTGTGCCATCAGTTCATGTACATAGTCTGTAAGATAAAAAGTACATATACAAGTACACTGGTTTTATTATTTTTTCCAATCACTATTACACAAAATATGACACTATTGCTAGTAAAGACTTTAAAAGTTTTGTATACATGGACATATTTTCTTGCAACTAAAATGCAAGTTGTTAATTGAAGAATCATGTACTGCAATATATAGAATACTGAACCTAACCTAAAAGATTAAACTCGTCTTCATATGCAACATAATACTTACCAAATGTTTGTTTTGTTTTGACTTTTCTGACAGTGTATCCACCTTTCTTCTGTTAAGGGTAGATTATCTTAAACATTTTCTCCCTAGCAGATGTCATGGCTTGTTCTCTTCTCACATTTTCATTGTGGTGAAGTGCAGCTAGAATCACCCTATTCAAAGAGATGCAACAACATTTAAACTTTCTTGATTAAGTATCATCAATATCTTAGGAATTAAGACTGGCTGCCTAAATCTTTTACATAATCATTTTAACATATCTTACATCTAGCTACGACACTAAATCTCTTTTAACATTGCAATATTCACCACAGGAGGTTTGAGACAGGTAGACTACTAGTGACTAATGATATTTCCACAACCTGTTCATGTTAGATCTTGAGACAGATATACATATACGATCAACTTGTCTGTACAAATTGATGTCTAAATAAATAATAGTCTTATGAGAATCATGTGATAATATACCTGCACAACATTCCATTGAATGAAAAGCCATGCATTTTAGGGGCAAATTGGTTAACTGTTGAGTGGTACCCTTCTAGTTCTGAAGTTTGGTGATTTGTGGTGACGTCAACATCAGTTCTAGCTTCTCCATTACTTTACTCTCTGAAAAGTGAAAGTGAGGATTTCAAATGATGAAGTAAAAATATAATATGGGATCATAAGGAATTTAGAACACGAATATTAATTCCATGCTAAGAACAAGAAACTAAAGATACCATTTTCCTGGATGTGCTTTTCATTCTGGTGAAAAATGTCATTGCTAAAGAAATTAGGCACTTTAAATGTTTTTTAAGCAAGTGATAAATGTCATTCGTAATTTAGTTATGGTTTGAATTATTGATACGTCGCCAATTTCGAGCCAAATGAATAAGTAAGCAAGTTAAAGGTAGGATACACAATAATTGTTGTCATCTCGAGTCAATGCCATAACAGGAAAAATACCTGGTTTTATCCATTTCTTCTTCCTTTCCAGCAAGGAAACAGATCACCATGACCATCATGGATATTTTGGACATGGTTTACCACAGAAACCCACTTCTGGTACATCAAAGCGCCATCTGCTGAGGGTGTTGATGCAGGAACCCAGTATAAGTGATTGGTTATACTTCTTATCCAGCTTTCAAGTTCACCTCTTTCTTTTGACAGTGCCAATAGCTTCTTCTTCAAACCTTAAGAATATTTCATATGCATTTTAATACAAAACCTATTATATTTTAACATAAACAAATATTCTAGACTTTAAATTAAGTTGTGTCTTCATACATTTAATTCTATTTGATATTTATTTAGTCCCTAGGACATGGTCTACAAAGTATCTGAAGTAAAGCCCTTAGCAAAACAAAACAAACTGAAATCAAACTATTTACTACGGTTAATACTGATTGGGCTTCTTGTTTTGTTATGCTAAACACAAACACTTAAAGAAAATGCAATACCTTTCGCAACATGCCATACATCAACGCAGTGATTGGTCTTGTCATGTTCTCCCTCACCCACTTTCTGATCTGGATATGTCGGTCGATGACTAGGGTATCTATGTTGATCCCATGGCGTTTTAGATTGTCCACGCTCCGTATTAACCCTTCCTTTTCCATGTTGACACTATGTTTGACTTCATTGCTCTGAAATTGATCAAAATCTTAACATTACACAATGTACCAAAAGTAACATAACTCATGTTCTGGAAAGTACATGTAGATTGTAGATATATATATATATTGAAATTGTTTCTGTATGTATGCATGACCACATTTTCTATCAGCAGTTTCAACATATAAATTTACATAAAATTAACGGGGGCCACAGTCGTCCAGTGGTTAAGCCTGGTCTCAGAAATTGTGGAATTATAACAAGTGGCATTTTTTTTTCAATACCAACCTGAACCAACTGTATATCTACGACTGAATAACTGCAAAACTTAGCACAGTGTCCCAGAGTATCGTATCGGCCATCTCCTCCTATATAAATGTCATTGTCACTTTCGCACATTTCTGCAAAATATTTTACTTGTTTTTCTGTCCACATCCTTAGAATTGTAGGCTGTAAATAATGTCGCTGATGCTTGAAAAACGTGTCATGGCATATTACCGGGATGTCCCTAAAGTTAAAAATTCTCAGAGTCTTTGAGGGCAACGATCCAGAAAATAAAATGCTGGCAGACAGCTGGACATTTCCTCTTGGAAGGGATCCCACCATTGACTGGCTTCTCCATTTAAAGGTCCTACCACACATGTCACATTCTTGATGCACACAACACATGGTACCGATCATTCGTGTCATTTCTCCTTGGCATGGTGATAAACAGTGTCTACATTTATCAAAAAGTTCAAGCAGTTTGCTTTCTTCAATTATGAGGAGTCTGTCTCTGCTCTGTCCACTGTGTAGCACATCTCTGCAATACATAAATGTTCATGACATTCTACATACATAATTGCCATAATATGAATGAGGGCACTATGACATGATATTATTATAGAGAAATGATATAAGCAAGACTGAGGTTAGGGTTCTATTCCATCTTGGGACAACACCGTTGGATCAAAGTGCCACCCAAAAAGGCAATGCAATGATGTTTTAGTACACAATGGATTGATATGACTGAGAAAGCATGCCATATCAAAGTCCTGAAACACAAGCCAGAAAGTATCAAAATAAATTATTTTTCTCTGCAAAATGTCAGGCATGTTACAACACATACTCATTTTCTTCCATATCTAACTCTGTGTTCGAGTCGTCTGGACCAGAATCCAGATGATAGGAGTCGTCTAGATCTTTACTGTTGGTCTTGAAAAGGTCTAGATGATCTTCG